GAAGACAGCCTTTAGCACTCCCAATGGCCACTGGCATTACCGGGTGCTACCCTTCGGCCTACACGGGGCACCAGCCACGTTCCAGCGGTTGATGGACATCTTGCTCCGGCCCCACCAAGCCTACGCCGCGGCTTACCTGGATGATGTCGTTATACACTCTGAGGGCTGGAAGACTCACCTGGAGCGTCTACGGAGGGTGTTGACGGAGCTCCTTCACCACGGCACTTCACCCCACGAGCACCACGCTGAGACGGGCACCGAGCACCATTCATCAGAGCACGTGTGATCAGTGTGTGGGCAATAAATCACCCTCCGGGGCTCTTTCGATCAGTACCGAGTCTGTGTTCTCATTCACCCCGCGACAATATATATAGATAGATATCAATAAATATATATTATATACACATACAATTTAATGATAGCAAATAAGACACAGCTAAAATGACATTTTTTCAATAATTCTTTTTCATTTTTATTTCATTTTTATATTTTCTTGTTTACATTAAAATGAGTACATTATATTATATTCAGTAGTAATATTTATTATGTGTGCATATATAATAAAAATAAATATTAAAAATATAATTATTAAATATATTTTATATACAACCAGTTAATGATAGCAAATACAACACACAATAAAAAATTTAAAAGGTCAGCCAATTAATATATCTGCCTATATATCGTAATACTGTATATCTGAACCATATATTTATTGCTTGCTTGCTAAAATTGTCTGCTACAAAATTCTTCCATTCCTTCCACAATGATCACACATGCAGTTCTAATCACCTCATATTAACTGTGACTTCATGTAATATTTGCACTTTTAACAATTCATTTGTCACACCACAGGACCATTTCAATGAACTATTAAGATTCAGTCCAAACCCTACAGCTTCAAACACTAAGCACAGAACGGGCGATGGACTTTCACGCTGAAATCAATGAACCCATGGGAGATCTTTAGGATGCCTCATGCCAGAAAGCCTACCTGGAGAACCTCAAAGACTCTTTATACAAACGACACACGTGTGCATCTCTTTTTCTTGTGTAAAAGGGCTAAAACATTTGACAGCACCATTACTTGAGGCTCTGCACGTCGTACTCTACCCACTGCACAATTAAAGTTGTATTGTTCCTGTCCCCAGCCAACCACTTTCAGTCACTTCATCTCTTTGGACGCTTTTCTTTGACTATTATTGGCGTCTGTTGCTCCTGCTTTGGTGTCTTTGGCTCCTTCCTCTCTTCAACTTTCATAATGACAGAAATGGTAATTTAGTGGAAACACACAGATCCACTCACACTGCCATCGCTGCAGGGTTTCAGCTCCTTCCAGAAGGTCTGCATGTGGGCCAGATCGATCTTGTTCAGGGGGACGGACACCTCTCCTATAGGGTCATTCCTGCTAAAACGGTCATAATCTAGCACTTGCAGGTACAGTGTGCGCTGGACCACCTTCTCAAACGGGAACCCTGGGAGAGAGAGATGAGAGGAGGATCATTTTAGCTCACTCAAATTATTTACAGCTCAATATGGGGTACAAAAATACTTTGGACCGGCCCCCTTCATTGACCGCTTGATGCACACTGCATACAAAATTGCATACTTTTGTTTCCGCTGGGAAATGTTTCCTATTTAGAAGGTGCTGCGTTGATATGGGCACTTGTGACGAAGAACTAATACACAATTGAGGATTTATTTAATTTACATTTGTTGGGTTAAAATGATGTAAAAACCACATGCTTTTGACCTGACAGTTCATAATGAAGTGAAATTAAATAAATAAAAATCATATACATATCTGATCTATATACTATTGTGCAAAGGTAAGATTAATACTGTAATACTTTTTTAATAATTAATATTTAATACTTTAGAGCAAAGTTTCAGTTGTAAATTGATCAAAAGTGACAGTAGGCATTTATAACATTACAAAAGATTTTAAATAAATGCCGTTCTTTTAAACTTATAACAACATATCATGGTTTCAACAAAAATATTAAGCGGCACAACTGATTTCAACATTGATAATAATCAGAAATGTTTCTTGAGAAGCAAATCAGCATATTAGAATGATTTCTGAAGGATCATGTGACACTGAAAACTGGAGTAATGATGCTGAAAACTCAACTTTATCATCACAGGAGTAAATTAGATTTTAAAATGTATACAAATATAAATGAGTTATTTTAAATAGTAAAACATTTTACAATAGTACTGGTTTTACTGTATTTTTGATCAAATAAATGCCTTTATAAAAGACTTATTTAAAAAATATTCAAAATTTTCCTTTCAAAGGAAAGTGAGTTAAATCATATACACACATAAACATGATTTAACGAGTCCGATGTCTGGCTACATGTGAGGAACCAACTTTGAACTGCAAAAGTTCTATAAACTCTAAACATATAATAATGTAGCTGAGATATCAAAACATACTGACCTTCAAATAGGAAGGTCTCGTTCCAGTGAGGGTTGAGGTTCTTTCTTTTGACCTTGGTCTCAAGTTTGTGCTTCTTGTCTGGCAGAAGGTAGAGTTTGACGAATGGATCTGAAGTGCCGGAGAAATCTTTCGCAGGTAGATCCTGACCCTTCAGGATTTTCACTGTCAGTGTGGAGTCCTGAAAACTGTATCCCACGCTGAACTGGATGCGTCCCAGCTTCTCACACACGGGTCCTTCGTGTTCCTCTTCCTCAGAGCCTGGGGACAACTTAAAAACCAAAGTGGACAAGATTGTCATTAAAAAGCTTAATAACTCCTCATTAAATCATTATTATCAAAACCACACTGCAGTGTGTCCTGCACCATAACTGAATCTATAGCAGTGTGGCTAAATAAATTATTTTTAAATTAAATGTGATGATATGAAATACTAGGTACTGCTAAATAATACAATTAATAAACACAAACACCCACACATTTCTATTGCATCTTTACTGGTTGTACGGGAAAAAAGACAATAAATAAATAAAGGATTTTTATTGTTATTCAAAACTTAACTGAAGTTGAAACAAAACAAAAATATAAATGCAAATAAAAATATTCAATAAAAACTTTTTATAAAATATTAAACAAAGTAGCCCTTTCAACTGAATGAACTAAATTAGGTTTAAGTTAAGAAGCTAATTCAAAATATTAATAAATACAAGTATTATAAAAATAATACTAAACTATCACTGAATCTGATTCATGAACAGTTGACTCTTATGAACAAGTTCTTTTAATGTGTCAAAAGCATTCACATACAAGTTATTAGTTTAAAACCAAAAACCTTAATAAAAAAAAATACATAGTTGCCATATGAGACAAAATATAAGTTAAATATCTCAAAACTTCAAACTTTGAAGTCTGAAGCTCTAAAATTACTAAAACTAAAATTGAAATAAAAGCCAAACAGAAACATAAAAAACTAATAAAACAAAAGCACATAACAAAACCACTAAAACTTCAACTAAAGATAAAACTGAAAATACAAAAATAAAAGTGAATTCAAAATATGAATAAATACTAGTATACAAATGATACTAAAATAACACTGAATCTGATTCAAGAACAGATGATTCTTATGAACCGATTCTTTTAGTGAATCAGTCAAAAGCACTCACAAACTCACAAGTTATCAGTTTAAATACCAAAATGTATGATTTTAAATGTATATATACATATATACACATACATACATACATACATATGGGCTCCAACTCGGTTAACTTAACTTAGGCCCTATCGTTGATTTTTCGGAAGTAAATAACGTTACGTGAATCGTGACTATTCACAAGCTGTTTTATTTACGGGATAGGCTAATGCTTGGAAATGATGTTTCAAGTTTTCACGTCCATTCATTATTTGTAGCATGCAAGCCACTCAATAATTGCAGCTTTGTGCTCTGTTACTACAAAGTCTCAGCCTTCTGTAAATTTTATGATACAATTCAAACAATAAACGTCTTTTTACGCTAAAAGAATGAAGAATGCCACAGACTTTCTTTTTTTTTTGAGGAGTAGGCCTATAGGTGGAATTTTCACATTAACTTCACACAATATAACATGATTTTATTATCGGAATTTTGACTATTCTTAAAATATTATGACGTTAATCTTATTTATTTAGTTATTTTTCAACGTGGCACAAAAATGCTGCCGTATAGGCTACTGAATGCAAACACAATTTTGGCACAGCGGCCCAAAAACCAAAAAATTTATAAAAAACAAACAAAAAAAGTAACCAGGGGGTGCTGCAGCACCCTCAGCACCCCTACTTCCCGCGGTAATGTGTATATATATATGTATTTGTTTTGCATTGCTTTCTTATGAGAATATCATAAAATTATCTTAACAACATGCTCTATTGAAATCAACTGAGTCAAGTCTCTTGTGCTTCACAATATTGTTATGTTAGTAACTACTGGTTTGAATCGGGCAAACTAATGGAACAGACTCCCCTGCTGCCTAAACATAACACTGCACTTGTCAAATATGAGACAAAAAAGTTGCCGGGATGCTCTCTAACGAGTTGTGAAAAGCTGTTGCCTTCACATTAATACGTGGTGAAGGGCTAAAAGTTGGGAACTGGTTGGTGGTCTTTACAAACACCTTAGTGATCCATCACTTAAAGTGGTCTGACAAGCAGCAGCATATCGAATTAATGAACTCCCATCTGTGTCAGGACCTTGGCTAAAAGTTGGGCTTAATTTGACATGCCATGCCCCAATGCCCGGATCCCCCCAGTGGGCTGCGAGAGGCTGGTGCTTACAAGAGCTTCTGGCACCCTCTTAAAGAGGAAGCACCATCATTAGCCCTCATCACATCTCTTTAAAAACGCCTTACCACCCACATAATGACACGCAGACCCTGTGAAGGCCGTCGTCCGTGTCCCAGCAGCACATTGTACCAGTTCTAATTATGGGCCTTTTGTAGAGGTAAGTTCCCTTTGACACATCTCTGTGTGTGACTGACTGCAGTAAGGGAAAGCACCAATTACACATGATGCATCCCTGTGTTTAAAAGGTTTACATTTCAGAGAAAAAAAATTAAAGAATTGCAAGATGTAAGCTCAGAATTTGTAGAAAAAAAAATATAAATCCCAATTACGAGTTTATAACTTGCGATTGTGAGATATAAACTGGCAATTGTGGAAAACAGTCTTAATTGTAACATATAAGTTGAAAATACCTTTTTTTATAGTTTTACTCATAAGCTTCAATAGAGAATAGTACACAACCAAAAGTTCATGTTACCATCAGCATATCACTGGTGACGGAGTTGGCCAGGTCTGAGACGGAGGAGTTAGCGTCTGTCCGGCGGCTGCTCTCGTCTGGGGTCTGACCTTTAGGGCTGCTGCCGGGTTGATTAGATCTGGCAAAGAACCACAAGAGTAAAACGGTCACTTTTTATAGCATGTAGCATTAAACACTTTCTCCTGTCTTACGAACTTCATATGCACAGAGAACTGCAAGTCCTCCGTAGCCTGTAGCGCTAGTATTTGTTTGAGACTGGGTTTTGGATAGCATTGCCTTGTTAGAACCTGCTGGTTGATGCTGTAACACCATCTGTTTGACCGTCATTTAAATTTAGCAGTGCGTTGTAACAAAATAAAAAGCAACTTTTCTCCTGTCGTTCAAAAGTTGAGGTAGGTGCATTTTTTTTATTTTTTTTTTTACATTTTTGTAAGTGCCTTATGCTCACCAAAGCTGCATTTATTTGATTAAAAATACAGTAAAAACAGCAATATTGTGAAATATTATTACAATTAATAATAAATTCTTTCTATTTGAATACATTTGAAAATGTAATTTATTCCTGTTATGCAAAACTGAATTTTCAGCATCATTATTCCAGTCTTCAGTGTCACATGATCCTCCAGAAATCATTCTTATATGCTGATTTGCTGCTCCAGAAACATTGCTAATTAATTACAATGTTGAAAACAGGTATGCTGCTTAATATTTTTGTGGAAACTGTGGTACGTACTGTAGGTAGTAGACAGCAAGGCAGTTTATTTTGGAACAGAGCCTTAGTAAAAGTCACATTGAGCTACAGTCTGACTTTGTCCTCACTGGAAAGCTAAAAAATAGTGCCATAGTTGTAATACAAGGACATTACAGTTCTGTGGAGATTTGGATTAAATAATAAATGCAGGAGAAAGAACATCACAGGGTGAATGCGACAATGTTCTGCCTGGGATGAAGTGTATGAAGAAAGGACACAACAGAAATGCTGCTGTGAGACAAACATTACGTCCAGTATTTACTCAGATCAGAACAGCAAAGAGATAAAAGGATGGAAAACCTGTGAGATAAAACAGTGTCTTTCATATTCTTTTTTCGTATTAAAGAATGTATGGATCAATAGAAAGCCAAAGCACAAACACGATTATCATCACAGCTAAAGGGTCTAACAAATGAATTTTGAAGTGAAATCAGTAACAAAAGAATTGGAGTCTGAAAAACAGAGAGATGTCATGGCCAAGGGCGTAGTTTTGGTTTGAACATTGGGGGGTTGAAGTGTGAACTGTTTTAGTAGAGTCACGGGTCATGCTCACTCATAAGGTTTATTTATTTGTTTGCTTGCTTACATATTTATTTTTGTGAAATGGTCTTTTGTGCTATTATTGTAACGGGACGAACAAGACGGGAGACGTGCGGATCCATATGCAAGGCTTTTATTCCTAAGAGTGGTCAAAACAGGCAGGGTCAAACACCAGCAAACAGGTACAATCCAGGGCGAGACAGAAGAGCAATCCAATAAACAGTCCAAGGTCAAAAACAAGAAGGCAAGGCAAGGCAAGGCAAGGAAACACAGAGACTCGGAACAGGGTACAGGCTAAACAATACTCGGCAGAGAATGGTTGTTTGAGTGAGTGTTATATAGTGAATGTGTGATTGATGACAGCTGTGTGCAATCAGTGCTGTGTGCAATCAGTGCTGTGTGCAATCAGTGCTGTGTGCAATCAGTGCTGTGTGCAATCAGTGCTGTGTGCAATCAGTGCAATGGCTGATGGGATATGTAGGACTCATGACGATCAACTGTGACTTGACTTGATTCAGGAAGATCAGTTGTGACTTGACTTGACTCATGACGATCAACTGTGACTTGACTTGATTCAGGAAGATCAGTTGTGACTTGACTTGACTCAGGAAGATCAACTGTGACTTGACTTGACTCATGAAGATCAGCTGTGACTAGACTTGACTCATGACGATCAGCAGTGATGTGACTTGACTCAGGGATGGCAGCAGTGACGTGACTTGACTCAGGAAGATCAGCTGTGACTTGACTTAACTCAGGGAGATCAGCTGTGAATTGACTTGACTCAGGAAAGACAGTGGTAGCATGACACGGCTTTGTTGTTGACGCCATTTTGTGAGCAAGCTCTGGTTCAGCCGCCATTACAGGCACAGACACGGTGTTGTGTTCCTCCTCAGCAAAACCCTCAGGGAACACAGGGTCAGCAGTCAGCAAAGCATAGTCTATAAAGTCCTTTAAACTACAATGAAATCTACCCTCTGGCATCCATGATTTTATGGATTCATTTAGTCCATAACGAAAAATGTCCTTTAATGCTACCTCATCAAAAGGTACCCTAAAAGATAACTCACGGAACTGAGTGACGTATTCCTCAATAAGTGAACTCCCCTGTCGTAAATCGAATAGCCGATGACAATTATCTATGCAAAGTTGGTGCAATAAAGTAACATCATAGTTAACAATTACTTGTTTACATAATAAGTGACGAGTTGGGAGTGAGAATGTGTTGATCTATTCCACAAAATTACAGTTCATTAACTGAATGATTTAACTCGGTGAAATGTCGTGCAACAGATGATTTACTGTCAGCTCTATTTATGGCACTTCTGTGTTCATTAATACGAAATCTTAATTGTGGATTGGTCTTCCCCACATATTGAAGACCACAAGGACAAGAAGGTAAATATATTACATTGGTCGAACGACAAGAAATAAAATGTCTAATTTAAAATTCTTGATTCCTAGAGTAACTCACAAATCTATTCACTTTTTTTTAGATTATGACAGGCCAAACAATGTCTACATGGAAAAAAAATCCCATTTGCCGTTTGATTGTTTTTGGATGCTTGCATTTGGATACAACGAATTTCAAGAATTGAGATTTGTTTGCTCTTTGATGGATTCTATTATTGATTTGAAATCGTGTTACTGTGAATGGAACCAAGCGCAAGATCCTCCTTTCTTTCATTTTTGATACTTCAATGTGACAATCTTTCATCACATTATCACTTCACTGGCTAGGCTTCACTTATTTTAGTTTGTTTTCTTTGCAGCACATTTGGTTTAGACATTTGCTACACAAATACTTGAAGAGCCTGACCGTCTGGTTGGTCAGTGCCTTCCTGTTTGTTTTATTGTCTCTTATATATACAAAAATAGCCCTTTATCACTGAGCACATGCAAAGGTGGCACAGTGTAGATCAACTGTACAGAAATGAAGGCTACAGTCTCTGTGTTCCTTTTTTTGAGTCTCTTTGGACTGAGGTTTAGTCTGTACAGAAAACACTTCCTTGTGAAAGAAAGAATGACCTGGGAAGATGCGCAGACATACTGCAGAAAGCACCATGATGACCTGTCCACTGCCAGTGAAGAAGAGGCACAACAGATTTCCACTAATCCAGAAAACAATGATGTATATTTTTGGATTGGACTGCACATGATTTCTAACAACCTATGGAGTTGGTCTGGAGGTGAGGATCAAAACATTGACTATTGGGACATTTGGGAACCAAGCGGTGTCGCTGAAAAGTGTGGCAGTGTAAACAGATATACTGCTAAACTGCACAATATTATGTGCTCTTATTATTTTCCATTCTACTGTATGGAGGTGTTTAAGCCCATTCTGGTGCATCAGACTAAGACATGGGATGAATCTCTGAACTACTGCAGGCATAACTACATTGACTTGGTGAGCCTAAGTTCTCAAATATATATGGAAAAGGTGATAAATGAGACTCTAACATCCCAGACAGCTTATGTGTGGACTGGTCTGCGCTTTATGGCTGGTCATTGGTTCTGGGTCAGTGGAGATGATCTTCAATATAAAGCCTGGTCTGAGGAGGGAGAGATCCAGTGTCCTTCTGGAAATCTGCGCTGTGGAGCTCTGGATAGAGAAGAGATGGTCTGGAAACCCACAGACTGTGAGGAAAGACATCATTTTCTCTGCCTTAAGAAGCCATAAAAGTGCTTAAAATATATGCATTCTGATATGTACACTTTCACGTGCAGCTTGGTATATATGTGTGCTCAACTGATTTGAAACAGATTCTCTAACCAATCTTTAGTGTTTTGTAATGACAAAATATATTTTTGTTCATACATATACTATATAATAGTTTTAAATCTGACACATTAGCCATAGAGTCATCATATATATTGCCTTATTTAACAATATATTAGTTAAACTGAAATCTTTTCTGGGGTTGATAAGACATGCGTGGTTTAGTTTATATTTACATTCGTAAGTTTATGCATTTATTGTTTTATATATTGTAAAATAGGATTTGCACAGGTATATCTCGAGATAATGGCATAATCATTGTTTTTTTTTTTTTATAAAATAAAAGTTTAATGGACCTTTTGTTAGCATTTTACCTATGGTTTAATTTTGTTACTTTAGCAAAATACTGTTTTTAATGTACAGTATGTGTAAGAAATATTTTTTATAATACTCCTGATGTATTAGTTCTATGATCACATGAAACTGTTAGTGTAAGATTTTGTTTGAGATGATCATTCAAAAAAATCAAGAAAAGCTATTTGAAAAACCTTTACTGTAAAATGTATCCTCTCCTGTATGTTTACATAAACACAAATGTAGTCGTGATTGTCATGTGGTTTTCAGAGGTCAAAATAAAAAATATTTCACTGGTCAACTTAAAACTTAAACTTTTAAACTTTCTACACAAAGATTTGATTTTTGAATTAAATTATATAGCAAAGCGAGCAAGAGATCAGAATAAGCGTATACGTAGCTAGTAGCTGCACAAAAACTTTAGTGGCAATCCCAAAATCTAGACATTGTTTGAAGGTGAACATAAAATTAATATAGTGTCATTTGTGAGATATAATGCACATCAATATTTGATTGCTATTAGTTTATATTTTACCCAAAATGAAAAACACCGTCATTATTTACTCACCCTCAAGTTATTTCAAACATATGTGATCATTCTTCTGTGGACAGAAGATATTTTGAAGAAAGTTTCAACTGTTTTTGTTCACACAATGAAAGTCACTTGCATCCAAAACAACACTGAACCCCACTGACTTATATTCAGACATTTTTCAAAATATCTTCTTTTGCGTTCCACAGAAGGAAAGTCATA